ACAAGGTAAGATTCTGGGTTAATTATAAAAATAATGATTAAAAATAAAACATAAACCTGGTGTAGCTAGAGCTTACAGCCCTAAAGCAACTTACAAAACCATCAAATAATTTTAACAAACTGCTTATGCAAGGATATTTCTATAGGGAGAGGGTAGGTCAGACTCCAGTTTCCTTTAAGGGGCTGCCAAGACACCCTGGACTCAGATGATAAAGCATCTGTGTATTCTCTGAGGCCAAGACTAGGAAAATATGTCTCAGCAGGCAAGGGGGGCAAGTGATACCTTTATAAAAGACATATTAAAAAGTGAGAGTTCTCTAAGGATTTTCTTGAAACTACCATTATAGTTACATCATCTCTCTTTCCCTAGAAAGTCCACTTGGATTAAGCTCATCAATCAATGGAAATGTCAGTGATTGGATGGCTGTATATCAGAGTGAAACAATGTTTATCTGTTAAACTGAATTTTATATCCATGTGGCATTCAGTTCTTTTTCCCCTCAAGATCTGGGATAGTGAAAGGTCCATTGATTTGTTGGCCTTGCCTGTGTGGTGCTAACTGCTGGAGTACTTGCCTCCAGAATAGGCACCTCTGCACATGGCTAGAGCCACAAACATCCCTGATCCCATTGGTGGCGTTTTCCTATTAAGTTGGGCACACATTTCCACAGAGACACAATCAAACATTGCCTATTATTATTAGAAATAAACCTTAGGACTGAAAGACTGAATATACAGACCATGACAGACCATATAAAAAAATATAATGTTAACCCATAACGTGCAGCAATCTGCCCAAGAAACCAACTCCTATTTATAGTGAGCAACCCAGGAATCCAGCCTGCTATATAAATCACACTTGTAGAAAGCCAGATAGTTATCTTAGAAGGTAAATAATTTCTGTAACAATCGGCCCCAGATGGCCAGGGCTTAATAACGGACAGCTTCCCTAATTTTGCCCCTGCTTCTAACTTAGGGCCAACTAGAGAAAGCCAAACTTGTAACTCTTACCTATCACGCAGGGTGCCGCGCACCTGAACCTCTTACCTATCACGCAGGGTGCCGCGCACCTGTACCTCTTACCTATCATTCAGGGTGCCGCGCACCTGAACCTCTTACCTATCACGCAGGGTGCCGCGCACCTGTACCTCTTACCTATCATTCAGGGTGCCGCGCACCTGAACCTCTTACCTATCACGCAGGGTGCCGCGCACCTGAACCTCTTACCTATCATTCAGGGTGCCCCGCACCTCTACCTCTTACCGATCATTCAGGGTGCCGCGCACCTCTACCTCTTACCTATCATACAGGGTGCCCCGCATGTAGTTAGCTTACCTCTAGCTTCTTCATGCCAGCAGTCCAATCAGAGCACACTTGAGCCTTCTCGTCTGCGGGTCTTAAAGCTTTTGCATTCCTCTGCCCGCCTTTGAGTCTGCGCAAACGCAACTGATGGTGGCTGACTCCTTTGCCGTACCAAGCTCAGAATCGATAGCCTTTGCTTTCCTCCTTTGGTTCAGTACTTTTGGCTTTGTGAGCCAGTTGGTTTCTAAATCATTCAAACTGCCATTCATTCACCTATTTACTGAATAAATATTTACTAAAAGCTTCAATAGGTCGGGCACGGTGGCTCACGCCTGTAATCCCCACACTTTAGGAGGCCGAGGCGGGCGGATCACGTGGTCAACATACCGAGACCATCCGGGCCAACATGGTGAAACTCCGTCTCTACTAAAAATACAAAAATCAGTTGGATATGGTGGCAGGCGCCTGTAGTCCCAGCTACTCGGGAGGCTGAGGCAGGAGAATTGCTTGAACCTGGGAGGCGGAGGTTGCAGTGAGCTGAGATCGCGCAAACGCACTCCAGCCTGGCGCCTGGCGACGGAGCAAAACTCTGTCTCAAAAAAAAAAAAAAAAAAAGCTTCAATATAGGCCATATTCCTTGCTAGGCACAGGAGCAAATGAAGTAAGATACGGTCCCTTCCCTAAAGGACAGTAACTTGGCAACTAAGGGGATGAACAGGATGACTTGGCAACCAAGTTAAAGGGCATTAAAATACCGAGGCAGTGTTTTTTTAAAAAGTGCATATCAATTCCTGGATTGATAACTTCTAGGAAGGTGTAGCTAAACATTTCAACTTTAATCGTTATACACTTGAATGCAGATTAGAAAAATAAGCATTCTAAGTTAGCAAACCCATGATTTCAGATATTATTGCTTTAGGATGTCTTTAACAGCTAAAATCTAGTCCGGAGATTAAAAGCCACCCTTATTTTAACAGAGGAAATTAAATATTAAGAATTGTTAATTGAGTATTAAAGAACTAAACAAAGCAGAAGGAAAACACTGAGGTATCATGCAGGAAGCTGCCACTCCTAGGGAAGAGTGTGAAATTGTTCAATTTCTGAAACTTTGGAGGGGTCGCGAAGAGCTAAAACTAAGATCTCTGACAGTAAGTTGCTGTTCTGTTAAAACCAATGTCTCTGAGTTGGGCGGGGGAGCCCTGTGGCCAAGGCATTGGACAGATGTCTGAGTGGGTACAGGGTCATTGGTGCTGGTGATGTCTCTGAGTTGCTGTGGGGCTGTTGCAGCAAGTGTTGGGAAGACTAAACTGGCATTAACAACCGTTCCTGGAACACCAGACTCTGTTGGGGTGCGGGTGTTTTGAAGGTGACAAAGAAATAGGAAATGAAGAGGAAGCAGAGAGAAGAGACACATTCTGTTCTTCTTCCTATAGCCTCGCCATCTCCAGCTGGGCCTCCACCGGCTGATCCTAATTTAGAGTTTGTATATACCTATGTAACAAACCTGCACGTTCTGCACATGTACCCCAGAAATTTATATATTTATATATTTGTATATATTTATATATGTATATATATTTATATATATTTGTATATATATGTGTGTACATCTATCTATCTATCTATATAAAAGAGTTGACTGCATAGGAGAAAGGGGGTTTGCTCAATCCCAGCGCAGCACTAAAAGCTGAATACATAGGGTGAGTTTGATTCTGTGAAGCAATAGCTTTGAATATGCCACAGCTCACCCCTTGAGCCATTTAGCATCCACACACTAAGCACTTCTAACCTAAACGTCCTGCAACAAGGAAAACAAGTTTCTACCAAATACACAGCAATTGTCCTTTTTACAAGTTAGCATCGCCCTTTCTCCAAAATACACAAAGTCCCAGCAGACATTCTATCAGTTAGTTACATCAAAATTTTAGTCACGGGCCCACCTAATATTCTTACCCTACAACTAAATAGCAAAGTTAACTCCTTAAGAAAACAAAATGAGGTGAGAGAAGAAATTAGCACACACACACATGCACACACGCAAAAGAAGTCATCCCTAGGTATCCGAGGACTGGTTCCAGGACTGGTATCCTGCAGATACTAAAATCCAGATGCTTAAATCCCTTACAAAAGACAGGATGTTTGCATATATCTTACGCACAACCTCCTGTATCCCTTAGACCATCTCTAGATGATGTGATACCTAATGCTATGTCAATGCTATGTAAATAGTTGTCCTACTGTATTGCATTTTATGTGTATTTTTTTTATTATTTTTATTTTTTGAGTACTTTCTGTGGTTACTCAAATCCAAAGATGTGGAACTCACAGATATGGAGTGCCGACCCTACGTGTAACAGCTGCAGTATTTGTTTCTGTAACTGGCTAGTCATAAGACTGAAATAACAAATTTCCTTCTTTCCTTACCATCCCATGGTTCCTATACCCTCAGCCAGTAGCTCAACTTCTCAGGGTTTATACCGGGTGGGGTGTACCAAACCATCATTGCCTAAAGGGCCTCAGTCATTCCCCTTTGAGATCATTACAGCTCTTCCTTAAAAGTTAGCGGCATACATGGGAAGTGCTAAAAATGCCCTAGAGAATCCTCGGGTTCCAGATGCCTTTCTCCCCCACCCATTGTGTAGGAAGGACATAAATGCCCCTTTGTTGCCAGCATCACTTGTACCAGCCAGAACAGTAAACTCCAGCCTGTTGGTTCAGTGAAATGGCTGGATAGTCTCAATTCCTGTCTTAATGGAGCCATTGTTGTGTTCCCTAGCAGGAGTACTTCCCCCTTGGGAACTCATCAAGAGATGCAGGAAACAATCCCCACTCGAGTGGCACCACTCCATCTACCTCTGTTTGATTCCAGACCATGCATTCTGACCAAGAACAGCCCCATGTAGCAGTCACTCAGAGCATTCGTTGCATTTGTCAGATGGAGTTGTATTCTACCTAGTGCTGTAACTGTCTTCAGCAGACCATTCCATCATCCTGTTATGCCCGCTGTCCCTGGGTGATGGGGGATATGCTAAGGCCAGTAAGTTTGAGAGGCATAAGCCCCTTGCCCCCATCGTATTATGGTGAAATACGTTTGTCAATCAGAAGTCACACTGCAGGCAGGTACGTAAGACGTGCGGTAAGTCCACGGACTGTGGTCCTGGTAAGGCACTGGGAGGAACTTTTGGTTACTTCCCAGAGTTGGAAGGGGCTTCATTCTCATGCTTGTATTGACAAAAAGGCCACATTAACTTCAAATTCCTATCTTTTCTCCTAACTCACTTGAGAACTGAGGTCACAGAGCAATACAATTTTACAGGGATTTGGGGAGAGAGGAGACATGTACCTCATTCATTTGCTGGGAGCAAAATTAAATCAGTAGTTTTTGACGTCCTAGGTACATACCTCCAGACAGACAGACATACATACACACACTTAATTCTGTGTGCTTCTTTCTATACTTAGCATGTAGAATAGACTTCAGCCTAGGAGACTGGACCATTTGTTAGTGGTAAATTCTATTGGGCTATAATGTAAGAAACTGATGGTTGTTTTTGACCCCATAAAAGGTAATTTCTTATAGTTCAACCTCATACATCACTACATTCTGATCAGCTGTTTTTTAAAATTACTATGTGGAAAAAAGTTGTATTACTGCATCAGACTGAAATTATTATTTGAAAGTACAAGAAAATACAGAAACTATGTCAAAGTAGATTTTTATTACAGAATAATTTTTTCTATTAATTCAATGCTTTAAATAAAACGACATAATACCATAAACTGACAATGACCTGGTAGCAGGCCGGAGAGGCATGCTTATTCTTGATAAATATAATAAAGGGCAATTTAAACTTTGGCATTAGTTTACATGAGTCAATTCAAGGTCAGTGACTGGAGAACTGTATTAAGAGAAACCAGAGGTCAAAAACTCTTCAGGAAGGAGCCCTCTAACAATTTACATTTGAAGATCAGGGAGCTAAAGATCCACTCTGAATGAACACCATTAAGCCAAGGATGTACAACATCCATCAACATCTGTTTCAAAAACAGCATGTTTCTAAAATGACACATCTCTTTACAAAGTAAACATTACAGTATGAATAACTACAGAGACACCATTGGGATGAGCTACAGATCTGCCGCTGACTTCCGTGAAGCACCCGTGGGCCATGGCTTAAGGCATCCATCTTAATCCTGGGGCTTTAAGAACATCTTCTTTGCTTTAATTGGTTGTATGTCTCCATTTTCATCTTCTTCATAATTGGCATGGTCTCTCTTTCTGGCAAACTTTTTCCCAATTGTCCCCACGAAGGTCTCATATCTGTCAAGAGGACAGACAGTAAATGTTTAATTTCCAATTAAAAGGTAGGACTCATACTATGCAGCCATAAGCAAGGATGAGTTCATGTTCTTTACAGGGACAGGGATGAAGCTGGAAACCATCATTCTTAGCAAACTGACACAAGAACAGAAAACCAAACACCACACGTTCTCACTCTTAAGCAGGTGTTGAACAATGAGAACACATGGACACGGAGGGGAACATCACACACCAGGGCCTGTCAGGGGGTTGGAGGCTGGGGAAAGGATAGCATTAGGAGAAATACCTAATGTAGATGATGGGGTGATGGATGCAGCAAACCACCATGGCACATGTATGCCTATGTAACAAACCTGCATGTTCTGCACATGTACCCCAGAACTTCAAGTATATACATAAAAAAAGAATTGTAATACACACACACACACACACACACACACACACACACACACACACACGAATCAAGCCTTGTCAAGAATATCAGACCAAATATGCAATAAAAAAGATTAAGAAAAAGAAAAATATGATTAAAAGAAACCATCTAATTTAACAATTCACGAACTTCTCTATAGAGTGATTAAATTCCTTGCCATTTTGGTGTTTGCATTATCCTAAACAAATTGAGTTGTACATTTTAAAATATATATTTCCCGCAGCACTGGAAACGGGCTCTCATCTGGCAGCCTGGGACAGGTCTGCACCCCCCACAGGCCATGTAAAAGAAGGCCAATCATGGTCATCGTCCTACTGGGAACTCCCTTTAAAGCTGCCGTGGACTGTGGGGTAAGAGGAGTATTACTGGGAGAGCCAACGAATGCTTGGTCCAGATGAGAAAGCTGCTGCCCAGCAAGGTTACCTTCTAGCCATCTCTTCATCTGACACATCGAGCTCCACTGTTTCATCTTCAACTTCTTCTGCTTTGTGCTTAGCATTCATATGAAGCATCAATTTCTGAAAAATACACCAGTGCTGACCTTCAGGCTAGAAAAGGCTTGTGAAAGGAAGTGATGTCAAACTTATTTGAAGGCAGAGAAATTGAAGTCAAATACTCTAGAGAACTAGTCAAAACTGATAAGGGATTCTCTGTAATACTTGATACCATAACAGTCTAACAAAAGTCAGCTGTAAGTCAAAAAAACAGTAAGGCAAAGCACCATTGGATTGTATTTTGTGTGAACTGAAAGTTTATTCAGATCATAAATCTTAGTATTAGTTACTCATATCTAAAGCAGGCATACTGCTGACATATTCCAGTGAGTGGGGGAAGAGATAAACTTTCAGATTTTCTCTTAGCTTCCCCTACCCTATCTTTGAGCCAAATGAAGAAGCACTAGCAGTCAAAAGTAATTTTTTTTTGAGATGGAGTTTCACTCTGTCACCCCGGCACAATCTCAGCTCACTGCAAGCTCTGCTTCCCGAGTTCAAGCCATTCTCCTGCCTCAGCCTCCAGCGTAGTTGGGATTACAGGTGCCTGCCACCACGCCCAGCTAATTTTTTTTGTATTTTTAGTGGAGATGGGGTGTCGCCATGTTGGCCAGGCTGGTCTTGAACTCCTGACCTCATGATTTGCCTGCCTTGGCTTCCCAAAGTGCTGGGATTATAGGCGTGAGCCACTGCGCTTGGCAGCAGTCAATAGTAATTTTTAATGCATCTCTTAGGTGGTGGTGATGGTGGGTGGAGGAGGCGGGAGAACTGGAACGCTGACCCTGGTATAATGGAGGGAATCTGCACCTCAGCCTCACCCTCCTAAACTTGAGGGTGAATAATGCATCCCATGTAACATCCGTGCGCCACAGGTCTCTCCTCCATCTCTTTCACATTAACCTTTTTGCGATGATTATCCTCTGACTTTTTTTTTTTTTAAATGTGTAATCTCTTCTTTACAGCAAGAGGGAGATAAAGAAAAAAAGATAAGAAGACAGCCTCAACTAGTTTTTCTAAGGATTAAAAGAGTGATAATAGTTCAAAACCTTTTCCCAGGAGGACTGTATGCAGTGTTACAGAAACCAGTAAATGGGGACATTTTCTAACACCCGCCCCCGCCCCCCATCACCTTCTGCGGGCAGTGGCACCTCTCCTTTCCCATTGCAGCAGATGTATTTTGGAATGCCAGCCTATCCACAAACCCATTCTTTGGATACCGCATGTTAAGAATCCCTGCCTTTTTCTTCCCTCTTCACCCACTGCCCAGCTCCTCTCCTCCTCAATCTAAAACTTAAAGCCGGTGAAAGCAAGACCAGTATATACTAAAAACAAACACTTCCAATGTTTGACTCTGCGTAAAGTAAATATAACACCTTAATTATCAATATGCCTCCTTCCACCTTGCCAAAAAAGCAGAAAAGGAAAACCAACCTACAACCTTTCAATAAACTCTGGATTACCTAACTACGGCTTGTGGAGAAGTGGCTCTTCACTGGGGATGACTCTCCCCACCAGGGGACCTGTGACAGTGTCTGGAAACATTTTTGGTTGTGACAACTGGATTAGAGGGTGGAGTGTGTGTGTGCTCATGACATTTAGCTGGTAGAGAACAGAGGACATGCGGGTCGTCATCCTGTCAGGACAGCCACCACCACAAAGAATTATCTGGCTCCAAATGTCCATGGGTGAGAAATCCTGGCTTCAAGTAATATTTACAAAACTAAAGATTTATATCTCAAGTGTCCATTTGGTTCATCAAGTACCTGACAGGATGGCTTTTAACATATGAGCCAGAGTTCTAATGAATATCTGTTAAATCAAGCTCTGCTTCTCCATGCTGGAGCAGGAAAATTTAAATGAACAGCTCAGTTATAAGGCAAAGATTCATTTTGCAAACAAACTTTCCAAAGGATTCATTTAAAAATCTACTTACGATCTTGGATTAAAACCTGTCGATTAAAAAGTCAAATTGCACAATTCTAAAGTAACATTTTTCCATTAGAAAAAAATACATTTATAGATGCCAGAAAATAACTTTTCATAACAGCATCACATGACATTCCTGTAAAAGAACCTTGACATCCCTGTAAAAGACTCAAGTTGAAATTCTAATATTTACAGTGGCACTGTCAAGGGCTGCATACTGATAATTTAACTTGCTATGTTAAATTATCTACTCACCTCTACCATAAAACTAGACTGCAATGCCTGCAATTTCTTTAAAAAGCTATGGCAATATTTCAAGGTTTGCTATTTTCTATATAACAAGTAGAAATTGTACCTGGTGGGGAAACACCTAAGCCCAATTATTAGCAGAAAAAATTCAACTGGGAAAAGTTTAAATTTGAAGCAATTATATTTAATACCTCAACCTCAGGATTAAATCCTCTGAATGACATTCTTCCATAGAGAAGATCTTCACATAATAAGAAACTCTGCTCTTCTATTATGAAACTCCTAAATGGGAAAATAAACCTATATTAATATCATGTTTCCTTATATAAAGCATAGCAAATAAAAGCCAAAACATAGAATAAAAAATCAACCTTATGGTTCTCAAGAGAATGAAGTAAAAATACAGTAAGATTTCTAACTTAGGGTTAACAATAAAAACTGATTAATTTGGTCAGCAAAGGCATGAGGAGACAAGAGCAGCAGGCTGGAGGCAGAGCCTCTCTTAAACACCACATTTAATTTGCATAAATACCTACATAATATAAAGACCTAAGGTATTTACAATAAACTTGAATTTGCCAAAGATGAAGCAAAGTTTCTTTTGTGTTTACATCCCCTCACCAAGTTTTTTTTTCAATTCTTTTTCAGAAAGGAAATAATACGTATATAAAAATACACATACAATATACAATGATACACTACTCCAAATCATTTTACAAAAGTTTCTGGCATGTTTTGTCTTTTGTTCTCAGGGATTTCAAAAATTCCATTCTCTAATCATCAAAGTAGCACCTTTCAAGAAACATAATTTGAAAAGCAGAATAAAGTATGAGTTTATAAACTGCCTGGAAATTCCCCACCAACAGGTTAAAAAGGACTGTTAGTTACTATATTGGAACATTTCCTTCCAGTCTTTTTCACACTTGCATTTACGCTGATTCTTGAACACAGGTCTGAGCTGTGTGGTGCACTTATACACAGATTTTTTAAAAGATATTTCAATAGTTTTGGGGGAACTGCTGGTTTTTGGTAACCCAGATAAGTTTTTTAGTAGTGACTTCTAAGATTTTGGTCCCCACCAAATTCTTATTCTATATCTAGGAGAAGTAGTGGGAAATCAGAGGCTTGAGCAGCTTTAACAGTGTTATCAGTCAGAACTCTTAGCTATAAACACCAAAGACTGACCCTGGATGACTTGAGCAGAGAAGGAATTTACTGTAAGAACACTGTAGGCTCTTTATTTCCAAGGGGAACTGGTTCCAGGACTCCTTGTGGAGACCAAAATTTGTGATACAAAGGGCCGAGTGTACTGGGCATCTCAGAATCACAGAGAAGGCTGGAGGGGCAGAACTGGAAGATGGGCAGAAATAACAGCTGCTAGGTAGTTGCACTGAAACCAAAATCATGGTACAGAATGACTCTAGGAAACCCAGTGCTGCTGTTGACAGGGCTAAGCACGACACCACTGATGGCATCAGGGCAGGCTGCGTTCCCCTGGACCAGGACCTTACTGTCTCCAGCAGAATTTCTTTGCTGAGTCACGAGTTTGAAACGCTAAATCCATGGCGACATTATCTGTCTTCAGCCGGGCCATAAACCCTTACATACGGCAAGAAAGGAAACATGTGGCCTTTAAGGCTTGTCTGCTGGAGTAGGCTCTGATTCTCATAAAGATTCCCTCATCCAACAAATACTTTGGTTTAGTAACCAAACTTCGTGCAGGCACTGTTCCAGAAACTGTGGAAATAGCCACCAATAAAAGAGCCTCAGTTGGGCATAGTAGCTCACACCTATAGTCCCAGCTACTCAGGCAGCTGAGGCAGGAGAACTGCTTGCACCCCTGAAGCAGAAGTTGCAGTGAGCCAACACTACACTACTGCATTCCATGGGTGACAGAGACTCCGTCTGCCAAAAAAAAAAAAAGGCCTCTGCTGTCATGGAGGTTACAATCTATAGAAAGAGAGGCTAAATAATGAATGAAACATTTATATCATAAAATGGATGAAAATATAGGTTATTCCACCCCTAGCTGTAGAGGAGTAATTAGTATGGAACTAGCTTTCCCACACCATAACTATAAAACAGGACAAACTATTACATGACTATTTTAAGATAATGAACCAGTCCAAGCATAGGACTATGATGCCTGAGAGAAGAAAACCAAATGAAATAAGCCCCATGAATGCACAGTTTTCTGCCTAGGGGCAATTTCAAGATTGTGGAAGCTCATATAAGGCCCAGTCTTGCTGAGCTCACGAGACCAACTGTTTCATTGGGGCTTCAGCTGAAAAACAAAAACAAAAACAAAAACAAAAAAAAAACAAAGGCCAAAGACACAAACTGAAGTTTGGGGCTATGCAGATGGCTGGAATGTCTGGGTGAGGAGACCACAGAAAGAGAGCTACACCATGGAATTCAGGACCAGCATGTGGGGTTCCCTTGAACCTTTGGCTGACTATTAAGCTGCACACGTGCAGGATGAATCTTCAGACTTAGGAGAAAAATAACTGCTGGTGAGATGATTTCTGGGAGAATACCGGCTGCATTAGATTCCCACGGCTGCTGTAACAAATTTAAGCTGACAAAATTGGTTTCTTAAAGCAACAGAAACTTATGCCCCTACAGTTCTGTACAAAGTCCAGATGTTGGTAGGCCTGGGATCCCTCCAGAAGCTTCCAAGGTTACAAGGCCTTCCGTGCGTCAAATCTCCCTCAGCCTCCTCCTTTTAAGGAAAGGTGATTACATTTAGGGCCTGCACAGATAATCCAGGATAATCTCTCATCTAAAGATCTGTAATTTACTCATATATTAGCAAGGTAAATTTTGCCATATAAGGTAACACTCACAGGTTCCAGAGATCAAAATCTAGATGTTGTTTGGGGGACTATTTTCCAGCCTACCATACCTAGGGAAAAAAAATTTACCCTGAAACTGTATGTTGAAGAAATAATAGAGTTTGCACAGAGAAAGGACATGTTTGAGTTCTGCCTGGCCAGAGAGGAAAGAGAGACCAAGCTAAATACCCTGTGGATTTAGTAGAAAGGCCACATCTTAGGAGTAGAGACAATTTAGCTTTAGGGTAGAAGCTACAAAACATGTCCTGACAAAAACAAGCTGATTGGCATGTAAGTTAACTGCATAATGAAACAAAATTAAACACTCTATTAAGACAAGTTACAAAATCCAGGCAGTCAGCAATGTAATACATATAAATGTGCAGCACACAATAAAAAATTACTAGACATGCAAAGAAGCAAGAAAATGTAACTGCCTCACAGAAAGAAGAACAGAAAAAGATGAATGAATGAGTAGAAATGGACTTTAAAACAGTTATTGTAAACATGTTCAAGGATTTAAATGAAAACATGAATGCAATGAAGAAAGAAATAGAAAGCCAGAATTAAGAAATAGAGACTGCACAAAAACACTAGATAGAATTTATATAATTAAAGGAAAAAACACTTTAAAAAAAGAAGTTACATAACCGAAAAAAAATCTGAAGTGAAAAACTGGATTAGTCCTATGTCGATTAAATATACGGAATTCATTACTAAAAATCTTTTCACAGAGAAAGATTCAGATCCAGATGGCTACACCGGTGAATTTCACCAAGCATTTATGGAAGAAATAATTTCAATTTTACACAAACCAAGAACTGAGAAAAGCAGACAGGAACACTTTCCAATTCATTTCATGGCCAAAATCAAAGACATTACAAGAACTCCACAGTCTAGTATCTTTTATAAATACAGATGTAAAAATCATTAATAAAATGTCAGCAAACTGAATTAAAAAATTTTAAATGTCACATATGAAGACCAAGTAGAGTGTATGTCAGAAATATAAGGCTGTTCTGATATTCAAAAGTCTAACACAGTTTTCAACACATTAACAAAATAAAAATCATGGTCTTCTCATAAAAAATTGTTTGACAAAATTCAACATCATTTATGATGAAAACCCTCAGCAAACTAGGAAAATATCTCTGACATTGATAAAGGGCATTCATGAAAACACAGCACTTCATATGTAATAGAGAAAAAGCAAATGCCTTCCCCATTATGATCAGAAACAACTCAAGGTGCACTCCTGTCATTTCTATTCAATATTGTACTGAGGTCCTTAGCCACGAAATAAAACAAGAGGAGATAAAATGTATAACTCTCTTTCTTTGCAGATGACATAATTATGCATGCAGACACTTTTAAGGAATCCACAAAAATCTACTTGTCAGTGAGTCATTTTACCATTATAGAATACAAAGTAGACATACAACCATCAATTTCTACACACTCCCCAATGCCATACATACACACAACAAACGAGTTTGATATGATACATAAAACTATGAAGTACTTAGGGATAAACAATGCAATGAGTATAAAAAATTTTTTCAATAAATTTTAATAGGTGCAGTGGCTCATGCCTCTAATCCCAGCACTGTGGGAGGCCAAGGTAGGCAGACCACCTGAGGTCAGGAGTTCAAGACCAGCCTGGCCAACACGGTGAAACTCCATCTCTACTAAAAATACAAAAATAAGCTGGGCATGGTGGCAGGCACTTATAATCCCAGCTACTTGAGAGGTGGAGGCAGGGAAATCACTTGAACCCAGGAGGCAGCGGCTGCAGTGAGTTAAGATTGTGCCACTGCACCCTAGCCTGGGCAACAGGGTGAGACTGTCTCAAAAAAAAAAAAAAAAAAATTCATAGGACCACAGGTTATCCATGAAAAATATATCCTTTAATGTACATCATGTTGTACATAAAAAATTAGAGGCAAACCACAGATTAAAATGTCGGCACTAAAACTACAAAAATTCTAGAAGAAAACAGAAAATATCTAACCAAGTTGCCATGGCCAAAGATTCATTAGATAGGACTCATAAGGAATAAACCATAAAAGAAAAAAAAATAATGAAACAAAATGATAAAAACTCATCAAAAGACAACATTAACAGACTAGAAGAAAATATTCACTATACATATAAATGGCAAAGACCTTGTATTCAGAACATAAATCCTATATGCGCACACCTATTGCCAAAAAAAAAAAAAAGAACCCTGGAAACACCTGAGTTTGAGTTAATGATATGCATGGTGTAATATTTTGGGAGGAAATGAACTGATGTCTGCAACTTACTCTTACTGTATCAAAAATACAAAAAAAAAAATACAATAAAATGATGGATGTATGGGGGTGAACAAATACGTGATATAAAATATTTGAAAAAAAAAAAAAAAAAAAAAAAAAACAGAAACAAAACTTTCTCAACTTTTAAAAT